CTATTAAATAAAAAAAATGATAATATAATTGAAAAATGGCTCTATTTCTCGAATAAGTGAAAAATAAAGTTTTTCTTAGAAATACCAGCCGTAATTAAATGCTTTTATCCAATTTTCAAGATATATATAATATAACAAAATTTGTTTGCATATTTGAGGAATCTATTAAAGCAAAACAAATTAAATCATGTAAATTCCCAAAACGAGTAGGTACTTGATTAAGGGGAAATATATTTCGAAAATATTTCTAATTCGTCGCAACTTTTGCCACGTTTACTTGGTAGTCTAGTAATATTTTTCCGCATAGTTAAAAATATTTTTAAATTTTTCTTCGTTTCTTAATTCAGAAATTCTTTGACTAGTGATAGTATAGAGTATATAGAATATATAAGGAAAAGGATAATTAAATGTTTGTATGGTAGAGCCAAATTAATTTCCTCAGTAGACGAAAATTTTAACAATGAATTGAAATTCATAAAAAATGTAGATACTAATAATTTACAATCAGTGCCATGGGAATTTTGTTGATAGAGTTTTTATCTCCACTTTGCGAGCGGTAAGGAAAGTGTTGTATAAGTCAAAATATGCAATACAAACGATTTTTTTTCTATAGAGGTAGGTAATTAATGTATGAATCATTTTATATTTTAATTATGTGCATACAGCGATTGTGCCTGATCTATTATATAATGAAAATAGCGAAGGTTAGAGAACAGGGAAAACTAAACTGTGCACGGATTAATCACCATAGTATTTCAGTCGAGGGGGATTTTCGAATATATTTACATATCCACGTCGAAGCATAATTATTATCTATCGGGTTCCACCCGTCGCGAAAACACAACACGGCTACTGTTTTGTCTGTCTTACCCAAATCAAACTGTAACTAAAATCACTAACATCCTGATAGTATCCTAATTATTAATAGTTTTTTCATGAGTGAAAAATAAATTCACCGTAGGGTGAACTATGTCACGTGAGCAATGGGAGCTTTGCTCTCGTTTTAATTTTTGGGAGAAATTTAAATCAGTTCTGAAATTGAAAAATTTGTGATATTTATTGCTATTTTTTGCTTAATGAACAGTAAGTGAACTTAACAGTTGCATATAATCAAAGCAGGAAAATGATCTTGAGCCTACTAGTACTGGCCAGGCTCCGACCTGGTTATTGAACTGCGTGGTCCCTGGGCTGCTGTTCGAACACTTTCGACGTTGGCTTCGCAGGGGTTTGGTAGTGAGGTCTGCTAAAGTCTCTCTAAATCATAAATTATGTTACAGCTAAAAATAATTTGGCTCGCTAAAGAAAATTATAAACTAAAATTTATCTTATCAGTTTCTTGGAAAAAATGACAAAGAATCGTTGTTTTTATTTTCTGTACCGGTTTTCTAGTAGTTTTAACAACTGAGATCAGAATCGAGAAGAATTGGTATTAAAAAATAATGTTTCAACAACTCCTTTGTTTTAAATCGTTGAATTAAAATTTCCTCTCGTGGAAAAAGTATTTCTTTTAGAATAAATAACGATAGTCTGGCACTGCGGTGAGTTGAGTGATGAATACTTGTCGCAACTTCAATTATTAAAATAGGATGCTGATACAAAGGACGTCGCCGTCGTTACCAAGCGAAACTGAAATAAAAAACCGACTTTCGTGCATCGCACTTGCTAATATCCTAGAAATGTTATTGAAGTTGTAATTTGCCAACTTTAATTGAGTTTTTGAGATGAAAGAGAAACTTTTATTCGAGATAGAGCAAGAGTACCAGGGGATCGAGTTCCATCAACTGTGGAACCTCGCTGTAAATAGGGATCAACCAATACACTTAAAAGAAGTCGATACCTCAAAGCTTGAATAAATTGGATACTCAAGTTTTAAAATAATAATGCAGTTGATGGTAATAACTTTTCCTGGCAACCCACAACACGTTACTCATAATTTAATACCACTGGCAGTAAAAAACAAATTAAGAGGACGCGCACAAAATTTAATTGCTAGTAGAACTGACTTAATCACATGGATACAAACTGATTTTAAATTTGATGTTCGGTACAAACGCGACCTTCAATATTTAACACGTCAACTCACATGGATGAGTCCATATGATTTCGCGCTAGAAAACTCAGAGCGACTATAATTACCAAAATAAATTATGGTTTTCCAAATCCACTTTACTGATAAAGTATCAAACTGCAGTAAGCATTAAAGACCCAGCAACACTGGAGGAAGCTGTAAACTAAGTGCTAGAGGAAGAGGAATTTCAAAACTCGATGTCTCGAGATTTTCGATCTGATTGATTAATAACAATTTACCCAAATTAGTCCCATTCAGTGAAATCTCATATAAAGACTAGTCCCAATGTCCGTAATTGGCTACCAAGTGTACAATGCCTAAATAGAAGAACTACCTTATTCCATATTTGATTACCAGTACCAACAGGAATATAACCAATACAGGATGAAGATGTGACGTCAGTAACTTACTTGAATGACTTCCGAATCCCAGGAAGCAACGGAAGAACCCCGAGAAACAGGTCAGAAAAGGGAACCAAATTCAAATTTTCCAAATACCGAGCCAACTCAATATTCAACTTAAATGGTGTTATGGTGGTGTTATATATTAACGTCACTCTTAATTAGTGCTGGCAAAAACCGGAAAAAAGTGAAACCGATTTCAGATAAAACCGGTTAGTCGAATAGTTGCTAAAACCGGATATTCTAAAACCGGTTATTCGAATAACCCGTTACTCGAATAGTGGCCAAAACCGGATATCTGAAAATCGGTGCTTTGTAAAACTGACGAGATATACGATGTTATTCACATATTTACATATTTTAAATTTTAAAGTTAAATCTAATCTTAAAAGTTAAAATGTTAAAACAGTTGCACTTGTTACTGTGATTCTTCAATTTATTATTTATATAAATGGATTTGGTCGTTTGGTGTATGTGGGTGTGGGTGACTGTTTTTTTATCAGTCTGTGCCTTCTAATACGTATGTACTATGTAGCCTGTGTCAATAACTACATAACACTAAGACTATATTATGGTGTATATAGTTATTGGCTATAAAGAAAGAATCCGATTATTCGGATGTTTGAATAGATTATTGAATAATCGGTTATTTGAATAATTGGTTATTTGAATAATTGGTTATTTGAGTAATCGGATATTTGAAGAATCGAATAACCGGTTTTCGGGTTTCTTTAAAATCCGAATTATCCGAAACCGGTTAACCGACTATCCAAAAAAAAACGATTTCAGTTGCCAGCACTATTAATAGTCAAACTTGTAGATACAGACCGATAATTAACAACTTTTCCCGAATGAAATTTATTTATGTCCTTACAAACATATACGGGAAAAAGGAAAACGTTATATAAAGCAATTAATCTACCTTTCCCTGAATTTTAATCAACGATTGCAATTAATCAAGTTTTATATTATTTCCATAATTATTTCGACGGGTAACGACGTCTACAAGAACTAATCAATGTAAAATTAAATATTAATTCTTCAAACTAAACTTTAGAAAATGAAAAAGTCATCTTTATGTAAGAAACAGGTTTAATACGATTTGAATCTTTTCGACGGAAGACGAGTAAAAATACCAACAAAAGACGAAAATTGAACCATTATACCATAATTTCATTCAGAAAAATTTTATGTCGCGTAGCAAATAGTGAAAATTACTTTGCTGAAATCGAATTTCATAATTTAAACAAAAAAACACCAAATTATCTCTTTTTCCGAATCATGAAAATCTGAACCTTTCCCGAATCTTACTATTTCTTCTGTTGTGAAGCCGTTCCAACTACAAGTAATACAAATAAAAATTGACATTTTTTAAAATCCTTCAGATAAATCTCCAAAATTCTAACACTGTCTCACCACAATGTTCACAAATTTAGATAATTTCAAGGAAATCAGATGCATCAAGTAAGAAGAAATGGAAAATAAATCGACTATTGATTCGGATTTCACCAAATAGAAATGTCACCAGATTCCATACAAAAAATGCCTTCAACACCGAGCATTATGAGTTCTTAAGGATGCCATTTGGATTAAAAAATGCTTCTAATACACTTCAACGAATGATAGAAAGTGTTCTTAGAGAACATGGACGATATCTTAGTTTTTTCAACATCATTACAAGATAATATTTCAAGTCTGTAAAGAATATTACATATTTTAAGATGAGCTAATTTAAGAATAAAATTTTATAAATCAGAATTAAAAAAAAAGCGTACAGCTACACAAGAAAGTATCAGGCCAAACCCAGCCAAAATTATAGCGATAAAAATTTTCCAATTATATTTTTTTTATAGGGGATATGTACCCGAGCAGAAAATCTTGGCACTTTAATCGAAAATCGTGTACTGTCAATTAGGTTGTTTATTATTTTATACAAAAAGATAACCTTCTGAGTAGATCTACGTTTTTCCAGCGGGGAAATATTAAAACTTGGAAGCAGCATATCCTTGGAAAACCCCTTTCAGGGTATATTCCGTCAGGAATATGCTCTGCCGATATTAAAAATTTCCTTAGAACTCTTTGTGAATACTCAATATGCAGCGTATAAATAGTCTCAGCAATAGATGCATATTGCAATTTGGATCTGGCGGAAGACTGATAAATTAATTTTCTAGGAACTAGTTTTCGTTAAAATCTTTTGAAGAAGGAATAACAGTAATCTAAGATTTATAGACTAGTGACGTAACTACTTCCATGTGTCTTCTGAAAGTTAATTTAGCATCAAACACGTTGCCGAGATCTTTCAAATATCCTGGTCTTTTCAACAAAGAATTGTAAATTCTATAGTCACATCTAATAGAAATTAAGTGTACATGAGCTAACTTCGTCAAACGGACACCGGATTCGGATTCAGCGACCCCAAAAACATATGCATGGTGGTCTAGTCTATCACACACTACATTTTTTTGCCGTGTACCAAACATCAATAATTACCACCAAAGGAAAATTAATTTAGGTTCTATTCGTTTCAGGAAATGCAGCGATACCCAGGTCTTCGTGAAAGACGGTTGGACTCACTGCATCAACACTTGCAACGAAAGAACAATGTGCGGGGAAGTAGAGGTACCGGAGGACCATTTGGACGCTTGTCGAACTTGCAACGCGACAGGCCAGAATTGCGGCATAGCGCAAGGTTCAGAACCTGGAGAGGGCATTCCGGATTTCGACTTCATATTCTACGTCTCCGCCATGCAGACCGAAAGGTGTAACAAGTCGCTGACCGTCGCGTATGCTGCCCACTGTCAACAAGAATCAGCGCTGGACAGGTGAGTTACGACATATAAAAATTACAAACCTGTATAAACGTTGAACGCTGCAGAAACTATACTCGAGTCCTGATATAGTAGGCATTGACTCATTCTCAATATGTGGGTCCTTGTCACGGGTAAGGCTTGCGGGGAATGCCATTCCATGGGCGTATCATTTTAGAGAAATTAAATATAGATCAATAGATATGTCGATTTTAGCTAGAACTAGATTATCCTTAATAAGTGATCCAACATGTAGGCAGCTACTTTTTTATTTATACTATAGTAAGTAGTCAATAATTTTACCTTCATGGCAAAGACTGCCTACAATCTCCCATGTACAAGTGACATCTGCGGGAAGACTACTACATAGTAATGGTAAAGCGACACAATGGGTAAAATCACTAAAAGTACTAAAAAATGAGATGCAGTACCAATAAAACACAAAAAACGACTTTTAGCAACTCCTAAAGTAAAAAAAAAAATGCAGAGGTGGTCATTTTCGGTTCTAGTGTGACCTCAAATAAGGTCGGTTCTAGTGTGACCTCAAATAAGGGCGCACGTGAGTCTCAGCGCTTGCACAATTGGAAACTGGACTGTGCATTGTTGTCAAATCTCATAATTTTTTAAATACGCCAGGAGCCAATTCATCCCACGTAAGCGAAAATTTAGTTCTTTTAATTAAAATAAACTATGAAACAGTACTCAACAAGGAATCTAACAGAAAACTGAAGCACTTGATTTTGACAGTTTGAAATTTTGTGACTATTCTGCGAGCACTGGTATCAGGATCCTCTTCCTAAAAGTAGGCTCTAACCATAACATCTCTAACTAACCAACTCTTGATTGGTATACACGCTTTTTCACAATATCATTCAAAAACTTGAAAGTTAAATCACAAAAATACGCTGTACCGTTACTAAACACTGAAATAAATCATTTTACACTTCCACCACACAAAGGCACTTTACGAACACCCTCTCGGAACTCGATAAAGTTGAAAATTAAAATAAAAATGTAACAAACCCGTTTACCAACCCGTCGTATCATACCAGGTGTGAAGACAATTTGCAGTTGCCGTTTTTCAAAGGCGCTATGGCATTTCAGCAGCACAGCTGTGGATAACCTCCGTTCCCTTCGGAAGCGTTTGGAACGTGATGGGAATCATAATTCGACTATTTGATTATTCAATTATTATTGTTGTGTGACGTTGTACAAGTAAACAAGAGATGTTTTTTTCACATCCAGTGCATGAAAATGAAAATGCTTCATACTGAAAATACAAGTAGGATGGAAGATTCCGTTCCACAATTATGACTGTATAATTTGCGTTGACTTTAGCTTCCACTCGTGTTTAGTTTGGAAACAAAGGAAATGTACTAAAAGGAGGAAAGCACATACTGGAAAAGTCAACGGTTAAACTGAATACAATTTCAAGATAAAGGGAGGGAAGTTGAATTTAGAAATGTTTCCTTTAATTTTCGCTTCATTCATTTTTATTTCAGAAGAAAAATGTCACAGGTTGAACCTTAAGTACATACCTATATTTTAATCACCGTTATAGTTTGCTCTGTAGAATATAATTAATTAATCGTGTTTGTGAATAAATTAGGAATGAAAAAAGTTAAATGTAAGACGAATATGCCTGATTTTTCAATAGAAAACTTGTTGAGAACCGCTGACTTTGCACAGAACTTTTAAACTCTAACTTTTTGTCTGAAATAGGATTAAAAGGCTTAAATATGTAAATAAGCATCTTTTTAGATGAAATGTAAGAAATTTTGAAATGAAATGTTCATTGCATTCTCCTACCTTTGCCAGTTCTATTTTCATCAATAAAGTTTTTCGCCTAAATACTGAGAATTTATTGAGAGATGGAGATACAGAGTGTGTATACCAAAACCAAATTCGTACAACGTTTACGTAGTAGATTGGTGAATCATATTTCCTTGATATTTATAACAGATATATACTACACCAAATGTGCTAGATGGTCCTAGTTTAAAAACACGAATTAAATTGAATTAAAATTGTAGTATTTTTGCATTATAGGTTCATTTTCAAAAAATTTTAAATACAAATATCAAGACAAGAATTGTTTGGAAAAGTGCCATCTAGCGGTTTTCAGCAATACTGTCTGTGTTCTGTTATAGATATCTACCAGATAGTTACAGTTATCGAAATTTAACATTTAAAAAGGTTACGATGCTTAGAAAATAATCATTCTGTACTACAAGGAAATGTTACTTTATTTAAGGCATATTTATATAAAACCAAAATACGTACTTCTCAGTTCAAATTTATTTAATATTCCTTATTTGTGTGTTGCAGCGTATTTTTTAAATTAACGTGATATAATTAGCGATCATGTCTTTATTATTAAAATCAGTGAAGTGTTGATTTTTATGTTTTCAACTGTCATTTTCCTGTTCTAACTTTTAGGAAAAAAATATATATGTACAAATAAATAATACAAAAAAGAAAATTTTTATGAAGCTTATTTTCTGTTTCGATTTTTATGACGTTTAAATGTAAGCACAGTTTTCAAAGGCATTTCCATGGATTATTCATAACCTAAATTACGTGCAATTATGTATGCATTGTGCGTTAGATTGACACGGTTTTTAAGTTATAAAATCTATTCTAATGGAATACTAAGCTGTGAAAAGGAAAAGTGTGTTGAATCTGTGCTGCATCTTGAATAACGAACAATGAAAAGGGGTAACATTGACCTTGTTAATATTAATTAGCTGTTTGGTATTTGCCGCGTGGTATTTGAAAAACGTTAAAGCTTGCGAGGATACTGCTTACTTTCGATCATTAAAATGTCCGTTTTATTAGCGAGAAAAAAACTATAGAAAGGGAGATAAATATAATAATAGTAACTAAAAGTGATTCACGTATTTGGAATATTTTGAAAATTATTTGTTTCCATTAAATTTACTTCAGAAATACGGGGTGTTAACATTTCTTGCTGCTAAATACGAAATGTTTTCAAAAATACAACAAAAATTCGAAAGTGAGGCAAATTTAAATGAGAATTAAACTTTCGCTATTGAAAGAATTAGTTTAATGCTATCATGTACTGATTTCTAAACTTATATGATACTAAGGCTGTTTCGTCCGTCTGAGCCTACCAGACTGAACACATATGAAGTTAGCGTATACACTTCAGTAAACGTTGCCATGGCAACCGCACTCTATGTGGGCATATTACACATATATGAACACAAATGGGAGTGGGAGGAACATGCAGAACCAACTAGCATTAATGCGCTATTTTTCCCGAGTCTACAAGTCAGAAAATTCAACATTCATTTAAATTGATCTTTTATAACAATAGGTACACGGGGCACAGAGATGAGAGATTCAAAAGGTGTAATAACATTTTCAAAGCTCAGTTTCGTAAAATCTAGGAAACTCTGGACGTTCCAAATTTCATATCATTGTATTCGCATTGTACTCAGTCTATTGTGTCGTCTAATTCCATCATTCAGTGGGGATATCTTTAATATGGACAGAACCGGCATTTTTACTAGATGAGATTCCCAGGATTGTTTGCGGTGGACTCTCCTCTTCTGCTCGACGGCAAAGAGTAATGGACGTTTTGAGGTCTTCTATGAGTACCTGAAATATGGAAGCTTTTAGGAGCTTGTGTAGAGTACCCATGAATTTGGGAAGCTTCTGGGGCACTAGAACTAATAAAATGTATACAAATTTTTAACAACCTTTCGAATTGCAAAAATTTGTGATTTATTGATAAAATATTATTTACTATAAGAATGTGCAATTTATGATCTGTATTATGATCTATTTAAAATAAAGGTTATCAGAGCCCCTTACGAACGCCTATGATTGATCTATTTTCACAATAATTTGTAAAATCCATAGAGTTTTTCATTCGTGCACTTCATACCGAGTATAAAACAAATGGCTTTCATGGTTTAAGAAAAAAAACCAAAAGGAATTTTTTTTCAAGAGCTTGTATCTCTAAAAGGAAGCTTTTGGGAGAAAAAGTGTATACGGTACCGAAACCGGTCTGTGCCTGGTGGGTTAAACTGATGACGAACGACCCTAGCTGTTGCACTAGGTGTTGCGAGTATAATCCAATGCCGGTAGGGGCATATAGCCCTCGGAGTAGTTGTTTCCCGCAACACTGACAATTAAAAGAAAACATTGTCTTCGCCCTCTGTGGGTGGCAGTCGTGCAACAAGTACCTGCAATATAGCAGGTCGCTTCCTACTGTAGCCATTTGAATGGCACAGTTGGGACTCAGCACGACAGATGGAGCCATTTGCGCTCCCGCGTACGTTTTGAGCATCTGTTGTAGTTTGTTTCGTACTTGTGCATTTAAAAATTACAGAATTTTGAGTTTTGGTAAGCACCTAAATTATTTTTAATACGTATGATTATTTGGACGACGTGAATCTTGGGGTACTTTAATTACATATTTTTCAAATTCATAATTTGATTAAAAGTTCCCGATTTAAGAGATTCAGAATTACTAAAATTTAAGCTAAAATTTAATCACAACAGTATCGTGGTGTGCATCAGCTGTGTAACATTAGGTTAAGCGCTGTTGCCACGTTGTGATGAAACTCCCTAATATTAATACTCGCTGTATTTTGAAAACTGTTAATCTTACGCCCCTGTAATATACAACTTTTTTGTTCATTTATAATTACCCTATCTAATGCTGAAGTAATGGCAGTCAAAATTCTTACACCCGGTAGAGCGTATAGAAAGTAATTCTTTATATGTACTTTCAACAAATTCGCAGAAATCTTTTTCAACGTCAAAATCTAAATTGCTCAAAGAATATTTAAAGCAGTTCTGAAGAATGGGTGCATGACAATTATCTTTTAAAACATTACTATTTAAACTAAAATTGGTGAATAAGAAATAATTTTTCCTGAAATTTGCGTCCTTATTATCAGCATTTATAAATAAATGCTTGAAAGTGGCAAACCTAATTACAATAGTGATGGTTTCGCAACCTCAAACCTTTCATTGGCAGTTTCATCCGGATTTTCATAAAAATCAACTATGTATTTTAAAAGCAAATCCGTCATGCAGAGAAAAATATTGCAGGGATATAGGAAATAGAAAAACTAATTTTTTGTAATACAAATTCAGGAATACTAGCCACATACTTATATCATTACTATTATGTTTTTTTTGTTGCAGGCCTATAGCTGGCCACGCCAACTTATGTCCAAACAGCATCAGCACTAAACGCCAGGAACTAGAAATATTGCTGTCAACTGTCAAACATGAGATTCTTCACGCCCTAGGATTTTCCGTGAGCCTGTACGCCTTCTACAGGAATCAAACAGGGGAACCTTTGACACCTAGAAGTCCAGAAACCGGAAAGCCACCACTCAATGAATCGTAAGTTAACAAGTTTTTGTATACGAGACGCAATCCGATGTCAAATCCCTGGATTTAGCGCTCATTTTTACATATAAGTTTGCGTCTGAGATAGCTCCGCCCACAAACGTGCTTCAGGTGGACGCTATTCTAGCCGAATGCGTTTTTTCTCAAGCTCCCGCAGCACGCAAACTTATTTGTGTCGGTTTTGTACGTACCTACATGTAATCTACGTATTTAAAACTCAAACCAAAATTATCCAGACATCAACCGTGTCATCATGAAATGTTCAGGATTCGAGAAATATAATTTCGCGGAAATAACTAGTTATTATCGATACCAGCACTAATAATACCACAAATATTTTCCACCCAATCTTATTTTATAATTGCTGACAAGTGACCTTGTGCAATAACTAGAATTATTCTTTAAATTACGTCTGTAGAATTGTTTTATTATGCATTATTTAATAATTATAGCGAAGTGACATGCAGCGGTACTCATATTTTAGCGGAATGTTCAAAAATAGACTGCTGATGTCTACTTGTTCCCGTGGTTATGTTCTATTTAAGTCCCAGTATTCAAACCTATCCAGCAAGTAGCTTTGTCCAAAAGCTTCCTTGCCAACACTTCTCTCAGTTCTTTGGATTCCGGAAAGGGTTTTCCCAGGAGCGTCATTCAACTACGTGCAAATCCTGGGCACTAGCTGAGTCACATCCTCGACAGACCTGACTGTCTACAAGTCCTAGCTTGTATAGATCTTTCCTGAAGTGACAGTGTTCCATTATAAGTCCCGTCGCTTTCTTAAGTCGAATTTTATTCAAGCTCAGAAACTCATTCGTTCTTTTCTGCAGAGGACAATTCATAAATTCTTTCGAATGTATTTTCCTTGGCCTTGAAGTCCACTATTTTCTATGTTCTGAACTTGCCTTGTGTATGTCCAAAGCCTTAATTGTTGCTTGACTGTCAGAGAATATGTAACCTATGTGAGTTTATGTATATAACCTCTACGTACACTCTCTGCTAAACACGCCATTATCGCGAAAATTTAGAATTACAGTGGGATACCTCTCCAGACTGTAGCTTGCACTCCATTTGGTCCATCTGGTAAATCATACCAAGCTCCATCTTTCCATGGTATCTATCTTTTCCCCCCTATTTGCTCTGATCCTCTATTCGAGACTCGAATGGCTTATGGAAGTGAAACCTTGGAACATCCTAGATTTTACTATCGATGTATACATCCAGTATGACATCCTTGGCTTCAGTCCTCAGGTTTTACCGATTTACTTCCAAGTGTGAATTAGGGGTAAGCTTATCAGCCAGTATCAATCCGAATTCACTTTTCCTCTAATGTAGGTTTAGAGAGCCCAGTCACTTTTCTTCTCCTGGTGAAGGGTACTACGACCGTCTTGTCCAAGTTTACTGACATTGTTTGCCCCTTCCCCCAATCATTTATCCATTTCAGCCTCTTTCATGAGGTCTGAAACGATGATACTATGTTTCCTGACAATGAGAACGACTAAGTGTATAAAATCCCTTTGGATTGACAGTGCAGCCCCTGCTTACTGAAAGGGTAGCTGTTACCGTTTGGTTCTTCACCTTCCAGCTCCACAAAGTGGATGCGTTGTTACCAAAGTTGCTCTAAATTCAAGAATTCCATTAATATATTTTAGGATACCTCTGTTCCATTTATTTATTGTATTTGGATCATTTAAAATAGTCACGACTGACGAAATTGTATCTCTGTTAGATTGCAGACGTACCAGTGGAGTGAAAAGGTGATCAAATTGTTCACGAGACCGAGTTGGTTGGTGCGGTCCGGTTATATGAAGCGAGATGTGCACATGATGGTTACCCCAAACGTCGTGAAGGAGGCTAGGAATTATTTCGGCTGTCAAGAATTAGAGGGCGCCGAATTGGAGGATCAAGGGGAAGAGGGTACGGCTTTGACTCACTGGGAAAAGCGGGTTTTTGAGGTAAGAATAAAGCTAGGGTTGGGAGATACGCGGATTCTAACACAACCGGACTCACAATCAGAAGATATGTCGCAACAAAAAATGTTAGCGCTGTTTTCAATTTGCCATAGGCTTTTTAATGGTTGGTAGACAACACCATTGGAATTGTAAAACGTTAAAAATCGTTAAATTCTTACAGGAAAAGTTTTAAATATCGAACATTCGAAGTTATTATAAGTAACTAAACACATTAAATTTATTTGAAATCATTTATACGGGATGCTTTCTAAATCCTTGTCATAATTTCAGAACATTATTCCTTTAGACCACCGGTTTTCGAGATACAGGATGTTGAAGTTTTCAGCGACAGTGTGTAAAGAACTCCAATTAATTTAGCCAAAAGCTAATATCAGATGAACGATTGTCTTTTCCTATGTTATTAATGTAGGTCTAAGTACTAATATCCGATGAACAGTTTTCCACGTCACTAATAGGCTACAAAAGCCGAGCTCCGAGCATGAAAATATAGATGGATAAAGAGCGATAGTCCCGCTTGATCCTGCCCATCCGAGGTCATTTTTCCTGACAAGGATATGGGCGTGAAGAGGCAGTAGTGTTGATCGGCATTCCTCCGCACGAAGTAGGTCTCTGCCCCTTTCCTACCAAGGTACATTTCTCCTTTCCGCTTCCGTCTGGGAACAGAGCGTCGGTTTTCCCGCCTCTTTCTAGAGCTCCCATTACCCCTGCGTCCTGGGGCTGTGACAATAGATTGTCTGTTCCTTTTACAATGTTCGTACATTTTACAGTGCTTTAGTGCAATATACAAGGCGATTATTAGGGTTTGCCACAAATTGTAACAATAGAAAAAAATAATAATTTCTAGAAATTTTTTTCTATACACCAACACCAAACACTGCAAATGGATGACATCGCTATCCGCATAGCATTTTGCTCCATCTACACACGTGTGTGAAATGGAGTAAAAGTGGCCAAAAACAGACAAAAAACAATGTACCGGGGTTTTTATGATCGGAACTTTATTCCAAAGTTCAAAAATAACTCGACAGCAATTTTCAATTTGATCGAGAACACTTTTTAATGTAATTTGTGCGGGGTACAAAACTTTGTTTCTTTAGAACTTCTTTCGATTACCCACATTTCCTTGACAAATGTGAACTAAGTGTGTCCATCCCATGGTTATACCGTATTTAAGACCTTATTAATTTTGAATGTTTCATTAATCATACGTTTATCATTCACGTTTTGAACATATCGTATATTTCACTTGACTACAGCTTTGTTCTCTAAAAATATTAATTAAGTACACTTAAAGATACCTAATAGAATCTCCACCGTCCGTGAAAATAACAAATCGAATATAGAAGTTAAGAAAATACCTCGTAAAAGTGAAAGACACCCTACAAAATTCAGAGTTGAGACGAAGTTTCAGTATCATTAATTACGTTGAATTTCTAAGATTTCTCGAGTGGTTTTCAAAGTCTGTCATTTAATAGTAAGTAACTTATACTAGGAAAATGCTCAATTCAAATATTTGTTTTTAAATAGTTTTTGCTATTTTAACGCTACTGGAACACTGCGCTGTACACCTGCACCTAAATAAAAGTATCTCTAGTTTGTAGACGCGTGCAGTAGATATGTGTGTGTGTGTGTGTGTGTGTGTGTGTGTGTGTGTGTGTGTAGATGTGTGTATGTAGATGTGTGATAGATACGTGTGCGTGTAGATGTGTGTTGGTGTGTGTGATTCTAGACGTGTGTATGTGTAGATGTGTAGAATAAAGGCATCTCCTTAAATAAGTTCCGAAAAATAGCAGCGCACCTGATTTTGATTTCCTTCCACTTAATCAGTGATTCTCAAAATGTACATGTGAATGGGTGGATTTTAGACTAATGATATATCTATAAATTTGTAACGTGTAAAAATTTTCACTGGTCGATCAATAGGTTTTATTTTCTCCCCCTTTTTAAAAGTATAGCAGTTGAAATTATGTGCCGTAATTTATCGATAAACAATTTACTATAGAAAATAAAAAATTTGATTAACTTTTCGAGGAGTTCCGATGGGAACTTGCTGAAGAGCGTCTAACTTTTGAACATTTCTTGTCCTGTTATTCCATTAATAAATCACTAGTTCGCGATTTCAATTGTTAAAATCGCTGCAACTTCTAAACGAATGGAAGCGAGACATATGTTTAAAGAACATTTTATTCTAGAAATTAGATTTGCTGATTTGCTATTCGACATTTCGAGAGACATATCGCCCCCTTCTTCAGAGGAACATAATTTATTTGATGATATCATTAGTCACAATCATCATCAAACAACAGCATAAGTTTTTTTTCTAGAATGAGGCCATGACTGGGACGCACACCCAGAACCCTATAATTTCACGAATTACTCTGGCGTTAATGGAAGATACAGGGTGGTACATTGCTAACTACTCGATGGCGGGTGAAATGTCCTGGGGGCGGGGTTTGGGGTGTGACTTCGTCATGAAGAGTTGCAAGGATTGGATCACCCAAAAGTCGGCAAGGTATTTAGAACGATAAAATATCTTTGCTATTTGTAACTGTCGGATTCTGTATCGTTTTCTTGAAAAACGAGCTTAAAATGTTTTGCGTGCAAAAATTTTGCACATTGTTTTCACACTGTGAAAACTAAATTAAAAAAGTGAAAAAAAATACTCTAAATTTTATCGAAATTAGGGATACTGCAAAAATTATTTCGAATTCAATCATTTTTTATATCACATACTGTACATGTGTTCTTAAAAAAAATTAACTTCTAAAAAATTTTGCAAAAAAATATTTTGAATCCCAAAATTAATTAATTAATATACAGCTTTTCACACATATCGCAGCATGTATCCCACAGTGAAAAAAAAAGTTTTTACAGACGATTTGCGGCAAGCTCGAAACATTGGTTGCTGGAATTTTTTAATATTCAATAACAACCTTATTCCGATTTCGGCACTAGTAAATAGAATTAAATATCTTGCACACTGGTACGTAAAATAAATTGTTCATTTATAACGTATATTTTTGGGTAATATACACTAAAACAGTAGGGCAAAAATGTTTCCTCTTCCGATCGTTTCGGGTGACATATTTATAATTAATCCATCGATTCTGGATTTAGAGGTAGTTCCATCCACCCGTTCTGCAATAAAGTTAAGCGAGATCCTCTACAAACGGAATGCACTGACGATCGCACATCTGTGGCCCTCTGCAATCTCGTCGAACATAAACAACTGCTACCTAAACTTTATCAGGTAAGATGTTTTTACTCCAGTTTTGAAAGTCGTATTTCCTTTTATTGTTTCATTACGACCGTTTTGATTACAGGGTGTTGACGACCTTAGAGATTTATTTTTTGCGGGAGATAGGTATTGGTAGAAGAAGCCGATTGTCAAGAATTTGCGGATTCTCACTGTTCGATTTTTTTTGAGCAACTAAAATCGAATCAACTTTTTGTTCTCACTATTCAACTGAATTGCATCTAATCGATACTTATTTCTCGTTTACTGATTGAAGAACTGAAAAAAAAAACAGTATGGAGTTTATACAATGTATTTCAACATTGTTGCCATACCCAACCTCAAAAATAACAAGTAGATTGCAGAATGCACCACAAAATACTCAAATACGTTTCAAATCGTCTGAAAACCAAACTCGTCAGTTTAACGATATAGTTAATCTTTAGTGGAATCAATCTAACTGGACTGACAGAAGCCGAAATACGTGGTTTGGTCTTCAAGTGAGGAGAAAAACTCTAAGTAGCATGGAAAACTTTATTCTACTAATTTCGCTGGTAACACGAGACACAACCGAGCAGGAACTAGGCTTCAAGACTTCCGGTCCGTGCCTCGAAATGTTTTCGGTTTTATCCTTGTCCCCTGGTACCTACTTTCTTTACCTTATCCTAATTAACACTTATCCGGGTCATTGCCTACTCGGTTTGTGCTTATGTACCCTAATAAACAACAACTAATTTATGTTTACAGCCTACTTATTCTAATCTCATTTGCTAAATACATTTATTTGGGATAATCTCGGATAATTCAAAGTATAATTTATATGGCTCGTAAATTGCCAGAAAGCAAAATATATTTATTCGGGCAGGTACTAAATGTAATTGTAGCGTACCGCTACAACAGCAATATTCATTATATTTTATTAGTTGAGCACTAAAATCGAATCGTAAGAGCGCGCCTTTAGTAAAAGTTCCGTTGAAGCTGGCAACATCTAATACTCATCGTGACGTGTCATTCCCTCTCCAGTAGATCTTAAGATAAATCTATCTCGTTGAAAAATAACGTTCAAGTTTGTAAACACCTAGTATATTTTAAGATGCAAGTGAACGATTACCAAAAAAACACCTCAAATGTAATTAATGCTACGAATAAGTATCTTGGAAGATATAAAATTGAACTGTCGTGTAGACGTTGAGGCAGACAACATCAAAAGGAAGTCTTTAATAACTTACTTCGTAACAGACTGAAAAACTTGAAGTTCCTTTTGTTGCAGCAGCTTATTAAATATTAGTCGCTCGCATCTCCTTAATACACCTATTGTTGCAGAACTTCGATTACATCCAGTACGTAGGGACCGGAAATGAAGGATATTACGGGGGATCAGTGTCGCTAGCCGATTATTGTCCTTACATTCAAGAGTTCACTTGGCGGTCGAGGAACGTCATCGTGAGGGGGTCCCATTGCCAATACGCCGAAAATAATCCTAGTAAGTATCCAAAATTCGAAAAAATTGTTAAAATCGTTAATATTTTGACGTTTTAGGACACCCTCAATAAGGGGAACCCTTTTGTTTAATCGATCTTGTTTTTTTCAGAGCCCGACAAAAATTTTGCTTTGGAGAAATACGGGGACAACTCGCTTTGCTTTGAACACACGAATCAAATGTGGGAGGAACGGTCTTGCCGGCAAATGAGACAGTGGCAGCACTGGGGGTCGGGTTGCTACAACTACCGGTGCCAAAATGGCCGTTTACATATATTGGTGAGTCTTACTTAATGTCTGTCTTGATTAAACCACAGCATATGTAGACCTGCAAATAGCGGATATCGTAAGATGTGTATGTATTTAAAAATTTTACAGTTTGAAAAGCGTATTCGATAAAATCACATTGGGTGAAAATGATGTACGGCTTTTGCAATATTTCCTACAGTTGTTTCTATGGATTCTCTAAAACACAAACAAATACGTAATCTATGCAGTGCGGAACAGCCAAATGCAATAAATTCAGTATCTCAATTATGCATGTATATAAAACATCCCGAGACACGTCGATTTTGGATTCTGAAATGACATCCTGCTACGTAAAAATTTCATCCCTAAATTCAACACCCTTCGAGTTGCAGTTGCAACCCCTAAATTTTTAAATGGAAGTAGGGTTTGTGCTACCTCATTTGAAAGGTATTTGCATTCTCTATTCTAAAATGCTATGGTTTTCATATTTATTGTAAAAATTAATGGTTAATCGTTACTACAAACTTATAGCGTTTTGTTCTTGCAGGCTAGCAAAAATAATTTCAGTGTTCTTTCTCAACATTTTCAATTAAAAAGAAGACATAAAAACTTAACAAAATTCCTCATGGCATTGCCAGTTATATTGAAAACTCCGTAGCTACTTGCTATTTAATTGACAGCAATAAATAGTTGTCAGTGTTTCACGTATTGTTTGAGTTTTGCTAACTGCAATTCCTAACATCAGTACCCCAAATTAATAATTTTAGTATTTTTAAATTATTTAAATTACTTCCTGCGCAAGAAAAAATTTCTTGTTGCGACCCTGATCAGCGCTTTTCCATCCAATGACACCGAAAACGGTTAAACGAGATCAAAGCGCTGACAACGTAATGAAACTGCTAGTTTACATACGCTGTAATTAAACTGTGTTTTAACTGCAGTTCTTTGTATTTGGAAGTACATACTTGATTTCAGCATTCAAAAAAACTATTCATTTGGATAAAATGATGTGAAAAATTTATGTCGGCGCGAATCATAGAATTGATTGTATATTAAAAAAATTAAATAAAAAACATTTGATTTTTCATTTGCTACCCATCCTCATCCCTCGCGACGAATTCCTCACGATTTATCCAGATCGACTGCTTTCTACCGAGATATTGGAATATGTTGTCACGTATTTACTTTAAGAATTTTTCTGTTACAGGTAGGGAATTATTCGTATGAATGTTTCCATGCAAACCAGGAAATTTCGATAAGAATTATTAGTAACGGATGGCTGCACAGAGGTGCTATTGTATGTCCTCCATGTAGAGAAATATGTGCCGTAAGTACCACTTTTTTCTCTAAACCTCCTTGGTAAAGCGTGTCTGTCTTTGAATAAATAAAAATAATAATAAATATTTTTTGACGTAATATCGGTAGTCAAAAGATTAAATAAAAAAAACTTCTCACCAATAAGGACTCTACGGCATGAACGCAAAACTTACGTTACAGCGTACCGGCTTTGTTATACGTATCGAATTAATGTTTTGAGAAGTTTTGAAATCAATAGGAATTACTTAATTATACAGGGTGATTATTTGAATATGGCAAAAATAAGTATATATGTCTCTACCGGAAAATCTTCATTACGCGCAAAATGAAACAAAAGTACATTTTTGCATCATTTTTCCGACAGTAAACGCCCACAAGTCAACGTGAAATATATACAGGGTGTTTTGGAAGAACGAACCGCAAAGAAATAAATAGAATATACATTTTTTTAATTCTCGCTCACCATTTTGATGCGACGAAAACTTTTTTGGGATCGCTGACTTCACCCATTGCTGTTTCCATAGGGAAAACAAACAATTGCTTATCTTTCTCAGTAAATTACACAGTCCCACAATAAAAAAGTATCGGATCTGGTATTCAGACTCGTGTATTTCCATGTATTTTTTCCGCTGAATCCGAATCTGCCTTCAGATTTAGCCCAACGGGTCTGAGTTTTCGGGAAAATTAAAAAACAGGTCAAAATTCACAAAAAACGTAATTTACGATCGACGAAAGTTATAAAAAATCAAATTATTCTACCAGCTCACTAGACGTATGATTTTTCACTCGTTTAATTCGAATTTATTATTTCAGTGCAGTTTCATTCAAAAAAAGAAAATAGATTAAAAACGCCATTTTCATGGCATAATTCGTGTTGCAGAGTTCTGCATCCATCTTTTTATCACCCTTTATTTGCAGATATTATTTTATTCTATTATATTATTATATTCTAGCTATTAGCCTTGTTTATGTCTGTCAGTTTAGCGGATGAATCTGGCAACAAGTTAAAAGTTGGAGAAGATGCCATTAGAATACAAAAAAACAGAATTAATAAACTCGTTCTGCTCTGAAGTTTTACATAACCTGTCTGATAACTCACCCTGTATATCTGCCAATATACCTTGCATCCTACGTTTTAAATTGTATCTCCCAATTTCCGTGACGCCTCTGTGTACAAGTAGAGTGTACAATAAACACGCGGGGAACTTCATAACAGGCATACATGTATCCATTAAATTTGCAAGCTTAAAATTGAAGCTGAAATACAAACAAATATGAGGGGAAACATTTAACATATATGGATAACAGCTATTTTGTTTGTTGAAAACGTGAAATGTTTTGTTCTCATATATCACATGCAGAGAGTGAATATATCATATTACCTTCCCTAAACATATCTTGTTTACTGAATGCGGAGTTTCTGAACTTTTGTTCATTTTGTGCTTTTGGAATATTTCCGTGAAAATTTAACATACCTGATGTTTTCTCGCTTTTAAAGTTGTATTTTTTTTTTAACGATATTGATTACAATTTTTATTAACTTCATTAAATCGCGGCTTCATTAGCAGTTTTAAAAGTTGTGATGTTGAATATAACGTTTTCATGTTGGTATTTATTTATTGAAACGAATAAAGGAATCAATGATGTAAACTGGCACGTCGTGTTTAGCACCTTCATTATATTCGCAACAAAGTTAGCGCGAACTTGCTTATTCGTCAATTTGGAGCCTCATTAAAGATTCATACATTAAATTAATTTGAATTTCCTCGTGAAATTCTGTTAGGTACGTATAAATATTAGGCTTTGGATTATGAAAAACCCTTTAATTTCTGATTCTGGGGCGACATCCAAAGTGCTCGTTTCAAAGATCTAAAATTACCGAAAATAATTGTGCTTAGAAAAATTAGAAAAATATGGAAAATTAGGAACTTTTATTACAATATATACAGGGTGTAAGAAGTTTGACTGTCGTTACTTCAGCATGACATAGAGTAATCATAAATGAACAAAAAAGTTTTATATTACAGGGGCGTAAGATTAACAGTTTTCAAAATACAGCGAGTATTAATAATGGGGAGTTTCATCACAACGTGACAACAGCGCTTAACCTAATGTTACACAGCTGATACACACCACGTGTGCACGCGGCAGACTTGTCCTATGGAATAACAAAAATGTAAACAACTATTATTGTGAAACATTCAGTAAATTTCAAGACAATTGTTTTCTAGTTTTTAAATAAATAAAATAAAATGTATCGATTTTGTAGTATGAAGTTAGTGTTGGGCTCAAATTTTAGCTCGAATTTTAGTAAGTATGAATCTTTTAAAACGGGAACTTTTAATCAAATTATGAATTTGAAAAATATGTGATTAACTTAACAAAAAGCAAACTTCAGTAATTTTTAAACGCACAAGTACAAAACAAACTACAACATATGCTCAAAATGTCCACCACCATTTTCGATGCACGCACGACATCTTCGAATCCAATTTTTCTCGCACTCGCTGAAAAACACCTCAAGAAAATGAAATGGTGGTACGCAAAAAACACTCATACACGGTCCAATTCCAGATACTGGATTGTTGGACACTTTAGTACCTCGTGTTAACGGCCGCGCCGTTGTCACATTGCTCGATATGAATTTTAAATTTATTACAACGCTAATTATTTTTTAGAATTAAGCATGAAGAAGTTCAAAAAAGTGATAAACATTGTATTTTATGGTATTGTGTGCACGCAATTATGTCAATATTCCTTAATTAATCGAACTTTTCTACATCAAGTTGGAGATTTTGATCATTTTTTTCTCGGAAATTAGGACCCATGTCATATTTTTGTTTATTTTAGTGTATTCTATCGTCTGCTAAAATTAAGGCAGTCAAACTTCTAACACCCTGTATAAAGAGTTCTATCTAAGCATTAGATATGTGCCCAAATGACTCGGTCAGACAAAAAGTCTGAATATTTTCTTTTAAGTCTATTTACAAAGTGTTTTTTTCTGAACCCACTTTTTAGTTTGTTTTTATGTCGAATTTTGGTTAAAGTAATGGTTAAAGCGAAATACTTTTAATAATGCGATGATTATAAAAATACAATAAATACGTTTTATAAATATCAAACAATTATATTTGTGTCTATTTTTTTCTACAGGGTGATTCTGTTATAATAGCATTAATTTTAGGGGAATATAGGGAAAAATGAGTAGAATACGAATACGCTATTAAAAAAAAATTGAAAGGCACATTTATGCTGAAAAAAAATATTTTCAAATCATTATTTACCTCTTTTCGCGCCGCTCCTGACCGCTGACCCACAAAGGTTTATCAAGAGTGAATCTTGACCTACCGTATTGTTCGATCACTAACCCAACTTTAATATTGTTAACGTTTTCACTATTTTATAATCGAATATGAGTTTTTAGTATTAATTATTCAGTTTGTAGTACAGAAATACGTACTACAAACTGAATAATTGTTGAGAATTTTATATCAGATAGAGTTTTCATCTTTTTCGCAGAAAGAGTTCGCTGCAAGGCAGGAGTCTTGCAAAATCGGTGACGAACATCCCCCTTCCACCGCTTACCCGAGGGATGAACTGCAGTGTGGATCTTCAATTACCCAAGCAAGTAGCGCCGCACTTGTAGCTTATTTAATTTTGTCGATCGTCATCTGAAATTTGTTTTAAATAGACTATTATTTATGTTTGTTTACCCTAATAGCTCAGCCTGTGTCATACTGAGATTTAGATAGTTTATAGTAATAGGACATCACACTGTGTCATGACTGATTTTTTTAAATAAACGACCTAAATCTCAGCCTCCTCTTACGAGTCACTATAAATAGGAAGAGTAGGGAGGATAAGTGTAACTAAATTTACACTATAATGGATTGGAAATTTGTCTTTCTATAATAATGCTATATCCCACTTTAAACAACAAGAGAGGAACAGTGCGAGTAATCGTATTTTTATATTTCGCCTTAAAAAAATTGCGCTATTTTTTATTTTTTTATTGAAAAAAAAAGAGGACTATATGTTTTTATATCTTTTCAAATTATTGCTAAAATGTGCGTGATAGTAAATGTTGAATTTTTAAAGGTTTAATAGGAATGTTCTGTCAAATTAAGGAAATAGTATTATTATAAGAAAATATGCGTGAGATATTTTTTTATCAGTTTAAAGATTAAGAAGTTTTATCCAATTTTTCGGAAAGCTTGCCGGCAGCATTTTTTTCTGGGGAGGTAAGATGTAGAAATGCAACAAAATATTACCACAACTAATTAAAAATAATCTCAATAAAATATGAAAATACTCGTCGAACTTGCTACATTCATTCATTTTTTATTATTTGTTTGCGTTGTGGACCGCAAGAATCGGTTGAAATATTATTTTTGACGGTAGAAAGTAGTTTTGTGTAGATGGAAATTAGTTTTGATGACGCCGTCACCTTCAGTTATTCTGAATGTCTGGATTTTAATGCGTATAATTATTTGTTTATGTGTTTACATATACAGAGTGTACCGGTATTAGTATAAAACATATTGGCGTACGGTATTTTATGGTTAGGAATATTTTGAGTAATATCACAGACAATATAGCTTATCGCCACAGACTGTGTGTTAAATGATGGAAATTGGTAGCCTAAAATGGATGCAGGCTCTTGTTAGCAGGCGTTCCGCTATAAAATTTAGCGTGGTAACTCTTCTACTTGGTAATAGGCGGCAGTTCTAGCGGTGGCTTTGTTGCCAACTGATAACTGCCAATTAATTATGTAATTAAAGAGATATGGAACTTATCTTTTGTTTGGTAAATCACATTTGTGATAAAATGCTAAATAAAATAAATCAAGTTAGAATTAAAACTATGAATTTACCTAATTAATTGTTAAAAAAAATTGCATTATACGGATTGTGTATCCTTAGATGGGTACTGCTCTCTTATTGTTAATTTCTTTAGTTAGGTACAATAATTATTGATACAAGTGTTGCATATCATGGGTGCCATTGGTAGTGCTCATATTTGTGACACAAGGTGTTCAAAAAAATTAACACAATGTAAAATGGCTGGAATCTTAAGGAGTAGTGGAATACGGAATTTATTTAAAAAAACAACAAATCATCAATCAATGATCCCTTACAGAGATAAGATAATGCGTTCGCTACTGCTGTTGCAATTTTTGAGTAACTTTTTTATTTTTCGACATACGGACTTCGGACCTTTTCCATTGAACGCAGAACGGACAATCGGAACCGGGATGAGGGGGAAATTTTTTAAATTATTTTTTCGATTCAACGCATCGTTTCCGAGTTATACGGCCTTTTTGCTATATGACGTCGCATATTTCTTGTTTCCAAAATTTATGTTCGACATACGAACTTCGGATCTTTTGCATTCAACGCAGAACGGACAATCAGAACCAGAGGTGCGGGGGAGATTTTTTCAATTATTTTTTCGATTCAACGCGGCGTTTCCGAGTTATAAGACATTTTTTACTGTATCATCTCACCACACCTCTTGTTTCCGAAATTTATTTTTCACATAAGGACTTCGGACCTTTTGCATTCAACGCGGTAGGGACAATCAGGACCAGGGGTGTCGGGAGATTTTTGAAATTATTTCTTCAATTCAATGCACCGTTTCCAAGTTATAAACACTTTTTTATTCTATGATGTCACACACCGTTGGTCCCGATTTTCTTTTTTTAGACATGCGGACTTTGGACGTTTTTCATTCGATCACCAATCAGAACCATGGGAGATTTTTTAATATTTCGAGTATTTCCGAGGTACAAGCAAATACTGTTTTTTTTCTTTCATATATTGTGACACCCTCACCCACCGAGTGCTCTACTCAGAACCAAGGGGAGATTTGTTTATATTTCCAGCCATTTCCGAGTTACGAGCAAAAACCGTTTTTTTTCGAATGCATTGTGACGTCATAGCTCGATGATGAAGGCTAAAAAGGCTCCCTTCCTAGGTGTCCTGAAGATGCTGGGGAAGCCCTAGAAACTCCAGCAGAGAGAGATAGACAGAGAGAGAAAAGCCCTCTATGAGGATAAAGTCACTCTGTCTCTCTCGCACATAATCAGACAAAAACCACAGAAACGAACCTTCCTTTAAAAATACATGGGATTTATCCATTATTAAAATAATTTTATTTAAAAAATTAAAAAAAAAAATAAAATGGCTTATTCTGATGACGAAAACAAAACATAATTAAACTGTATTATTCAAATAACAATATTGTGCAAAAGTTCTTCAGGAATATCGGCAAATTTATTTTGGAGCACGATCCCGTCAACGAACACTAAAAAATATTATCAGAAACCTTAGGTGCCCAGAAAACAGCCCTGATCTCAGTCCTTTAGACATATTTTTGTGGGGACACTTCAACAAAATATTTATTAAAGACCTCAAAATTTACAAGTATTGAAAGAAAAAATACAGGACAAAATGTTTGAAAATTCTGAATTTGTTTTTAAAGCAATAAATAGTAGTATTCTCCTTATGTTGCTGTAAAGGTTAGTTATAAAAATCGTTGTTTGTTATTTCAATAAGGATGAATTTAAATTTTTTTAATGATTTTTTTACTTTCAATATATATTTTATGCCAGCAAATTTTGATGTCAAAAGAAATAAAGGAAAAGTCGTACATTTATATTTAGTTTTTTTTCTATCTTTAATTATTAAACCTATAAGTGGATGTCAAAATACAAACAAAAATCCTGTACCTACATTCCGCGACGTATTAATAATCCACCTTGTATATTAAATAAATTTCTCATAAAATATTAAAAAATGTATATTAACAAGCTGTTTAAAATATTATTACGAATTTTGTTTATTTGGAAATATATTTTCTGCAGTATTCAATAACAAAAAATTAAAATAGTAGCTAATTAACCAAATTATGATTAAATAACCGCTGCAGAATATACGATCGTCTATGTTGACTACATAGGTACCTATTCGTTCATTCTTTAAAATATTTTTATCAATATATACATTTAAGTAAATACAGTAACGCAAAAAACAGGCATTGATAAAAATGTGTACAAAATAAATCCGTAAGTACACGTGACAGCATTGCCAAACCGTCGTTTATATGTTGCTGGGATACACGTAAGAATGCGGGCCGCTGCATTTGATTCTTCCTAAAATTCTGCTGGTGGTGAACTCTATCGGCAATTCGGAAATTTAAAACTGCTGGCCTATTCCAGTAGCGGTCTGTGGCGATAGCTATTTTGTCTGTGGTAATATTATGTAATACTTTTATACACAATTCTTGGTGATTTGCTGCATCTATGCCCCCTCATATATGCACACGCGTGCTACTTTTTACCAGTACCGATGTGTATGTAGGTTTATCACTTTGTGGTACTAAATCTAACGGCCTAAAATATCCGAATATAAAAGAAACGTAAATGTGAAAGCGCAAAAAAAATTATTTCCAAAAAATTTGAATTAGTTGTGAAAATTAATGGTGTCTTAAATGTTTTCTTAGTAGGTTTAGAACTACATATTTGAAATATAGAGGGTCGGAAAGTCCCCATGGTTCATCGGCCGTTACGTGAGAGCGATAAAGTAAGTCATAGAAATCCGTGCGATAGAGAAAGATGACTATAACGAAGGCGTCTAATAGTCATCGCCCATTTCGCCCTTCCACAAATAAGAAGTGGATCTTATTTGTGGAAGGGCGGAATGGGCGGTGACTATTAGACGCTTTCATTATAGCCATCTTTGTCTATCGCACGGATTTCTATTACTTTCTTTATCGCTCTCACGTAACGGCCGATAACCATGGGGACTTTCCGACCCTGTATTTAAAAATTTAAAAGTATAATTGTTATAAACTGTTTTAGTATATAAAATTCATTCATGTAAGGAATATTTCACTGGTAAATGTATGTGTGTACTATTTGATGTATTGTATTGTGTTGCTTGTTGTTTTAATGAATAAGTATCAATGACAGTACTATTTTATTGGATTGCATGTAATGTGTATATGTTTATGTTTGTCTCTCCAAAATATTTAGAAAAAAGCTTGTATTTTACAGTATCAGTTTATATAGTTTCAAACTATGATTTTTTAAATTTTAGTATTTTTTAAAAATTGTTGCATTGAGATTTTGTAAATATATTTATTTAATAAAGTGCAACTAACTATACCGGGTGTTTAACAGAAGATTAATTTGTTATTTTTGTAGAGTGGAAAATTTTGATCCAGCACCCAATATATAAAATATCAATTTCTTAACCTCAAACCTCTTTGAGAGCATATCCTTGTAGTGGTTTAATTAAAACTAAACAAACAATAACTAATTTTCACTTTATATTCCGAAATTGATAAAGGCTGTGTACAAAATTATTACTAATAGTAATAGTTATTTAACATTCTTAGTATTTTTTAAGTATGTCTGTACGGTATGAAGGGTATCCTAAAGAGATTTCTGTAACAAGAAAAATGTTAGTTATGAACTAAATGTGCTCTTTATGATACTCTGGTTATTGTAACGTCCTGTATATTTATTATGAATTAATTATAGTATTTTATTATTGTATTATTTCGTTTATAACTTATGTATTATGAGGTAAAATTACAATAAAGTTTACTTTATTTACACGGTTCTTCTCCAATGATTTATTTACCGCATTCGGGATTTTTTCAGTAAAGTAAAAGAAACAGTTCCTTTAAAATATCGGAATATACATTTGAGAAAAATATTCCTCTAAATTGAACATCATATCCATAATTCGCACATAAAATATTTGCTATAAGTAGTGGGGCGTGTTCTAATTTTTTAAGTACATCAAAAGAAGCAAATAGGTTAGTCTCGGATTTCAATGACCTTTTCAAGAATTATCTCAAACTCATGCAAAACTTTTTTTTCATGGTAAATCTCTTTGGTACGGCCGCCTCAAGTTAACCCTGTTTTCTGCTGGCTGACATTTCAACTTTGAAAAAAGTAGACTTGTCGCAAACCGAGGACACTGTCTCGAACAACACAGGGCCCCAGCGCGACGATGCAAGGAGCGTGTCGCGGAACGAAAATTTTCACCTCGCTTTTCAAAATTCCGCTGTCAGCGTCGCGCCCAAAAACGCTTCAGCCAACAACACCGCATAAGATCGATGTTGTCCGCAGGAACATCGAGGAGAAGGTCGAAAACTGACGAAACTCGAACCGAACGGAAACCAAATAACAACGACAAACCCATAGAGGCCAATCCAGGAAGATGTTATGTTCCAGAAGGCTCGGAAATGGTCAAAACGGCAGAGCCGGAAAGTGGAAATGGTGCCGACCTAAACCGGACCGCTCAAGAGAGCCACCAGCGGAGATACCCTTGCCTGTGTCCGAACGTCAACCCTGGACATCGGCAGTTTAGTAACCAGTGCTTGCAGCCTGCAGCACGATCTTTTTACAACTTACATGGAAATGTCTCTAATCTATTGTAAACCATGCTTAAAAGTCAACAATAAAGCATAAAATTATAAAATTCTATATTTCAGTAATAGTCTCTCTAAAAAAGAGCCACACGAGCTCAAAGCTCACACAGCTCCTCAATACCCGTATACCATAATAATGGGCAGAGTTTCATATCCAGCACTTAGACTAGTAAGGGAGGAGAGGGGTGCAGGGAAGATTCCATAGGCGTACTACTTGAAAAGGGGTCAACAGAAAATTATAAGAAATATCCATATCCTCATGATAGTCTGCTGTTCGTCGTGATTCAAAACCAAGTAAACGCTGTTCCAAAAATCCTGCTGTACTTCCAATATGCGCTATTATTGGGCGCCGCCCTTTTCCAGAAAATTTTGATCCTGTTAGATAGCAGCCTGAATTTTTTTATTGTCGCAAGCTAATTTTTAAAATACCATCCATATATTGTTGTGCGAATCGCATATTTTGTGTCATCAATATCTATATTTTTCCTTCCGCGAGTTTCTACCCTTTTCCGTTTCGCAGTCGAGTCTTCTTTGCTGCTCCTTATTGCACGATATACACTTGCCACCGACACTCATGTTAATGAACTGAACATCAACTGCACCACTTACATTTATATTTTGGTTTCGCGCTATAAGCCCTTCATACACGTTTTTTATCTGATATTCCTGCCTTGTTAGAAGAGGGTTCTTACCATTACGTGAACACGCTGTAGAGTTTGAATTAAGCTCCATTCTAATAAATTAATTACAATCACAATTAAATTAACGGAAAGATATACTCGGACTTCTGCCTCGCGTACGCTTATTTGCCTGTGCCGACAGAATAACCCGGAACCGAATAGACGCAACCCAATTGACGTCACGCACCAAACATCAATGAGAGTCTAGAATTTGCTTCAGCAGAAGAATATCTGGTGCACGCCAAACGAAGCCCAATTGACGTCACGCACCAAAAACCAATGAAAATCTACAATTTGTTGCAGCGGAAGAATTCCTAAAACTGTGCAGTATCGAGTGCTCTGGGAGAATGCGTAACGCACAATTTTTTACAAACGGCTCGTACTTCTCTTTGTGTTGACTGCTGAAAATGGTGAGCCGGATTAAAGATGAAATCACTGCCTATTATTTTGGTATCTGACTGTAGATCCGTCCTACAGCTCTAAAGCTGCCACACACTAGCCCTCCCACGAGGCACAATGAATAAAATTCCTAAAGCTTGCAGGCACTCTACGGCGGGCTTAAATTACAATTATAAACTGATGTGCTCCTTAAAACCAAAGTACAAAACAGTCTATGATCAGTTGAAATCCTCAAAAGTCAAACCTTGAACTCTAAAAGCAATTGAAATGCCCAAGTGCGTCTTCGAACCCAAATTAGAGAGTGGACCATTATCTTGAAGCCAATTACGACATGCTAAAGGATGATAAGATGGGCAAATCCTAGGAACAAATCGAGATTCGCAGCCAATCTTGCTGTTGGGCGACATGGCGCCCAACGTGGGGCCCTGTTTCTCGATAAGTCATTCTTATAGTTTCACGACAGCTCGGAACTATCTTGCTAATTGGATAAGCCAATCTTGCTGTTCCAGAGGCCGATATTTCCGTTAGGAGGAACATTAGAGAAAAAAATAGCTACAGGAAGTTCTAGTTTATTTTAACCTCCTATATGCTCCCGAAAGTTTAGTAATAAATAAATAACGTGTTTGCAAATTTCAAGCGCGAATACCTCCTCACTTTTTTGCATTAGAATAACACAAGAGGACGTTCAAATTTGATTTTTTTAATTTCACATTTCATAACATCGTTTTAAATAAAATAATATCGTTTTTGGAAATTTTTTATTATAAATTTATTCATAAGACATACATTTTCAAGATGTTTTCTGAAAAACAATTTAGATTAATACTAGCTAGTTATATAGTTATAACATTAGAAAAATTAAGACATTTTTCTAATCGTTTATAGGTACTAAGAAGATGAAATCCCAGAGGATATTTTTCAGTAAGTAGGTATACATTTTTTTAAGAAAAGTCAAATACTGGTGGGTTTTTTATTCCAGTGAAATATTAAGCTTTAAGATTACAGTTTCAATAATAACTAAAGTTACCTCTACTTTGGAATTGACATTACGCCCTGTATATTTACTGTAAAATAACTAAGATGTTATTATTATTTTATTTATAAATTATGAACTACGACATATAAAATTACAATAAATTTACTTTTATCATATTGTAATTGGATTTATTTTTGAATAGTGCACATGAACTGTGAAATATACAAATATTACTAAAAGGTGCAAATAGATGTTTGTGACAATGTAAAATAAGAAGGTTACAAACACTAGTTTATTATCAACCTACTTGTACTTTTAATGCACCAAAGATTCGTATCAACACTTAAGAATGAACAGGAAAGAGTTTTTTCGTGTTATTTATTAGAGAAAATTTTGCAGCAGAGCAAGAAATAATTTAGTAATAGAATATTTCGATATAATAATAGTTTAATATTTTGGAAATACTTTGCTATGCGCGTTGATTTTTACTACAAGTTCTGTCGTGTTCATTCCTCAAATACATTCGACATCATAACGTAGATAAAATTTACGATAACGTGCAACAATAATAAAATTTACCTGTATAAAACTATGAATTCAAACAATTTTACAATAATTTTGACACATTCTAGAACAACGATCATTTTTAATATAGGGTAAATATTGTCGGTAACAAAAATTAAGCTATAAATGTGTTTGTTATATTAAAATGCAAATATTCCGATCTATTGGTGCATATTTGGTGCAAAGTATACGTCTTGGATGTTTCAGTAGACCTTTGCGAGGACCAAAGAGAGTACGGTAAGTAGAAGTCCTGGTATAACGGCCAAATTCGTTCCACCTAAAAAAAAATGTAAATGAAGAGAAATGCTTTTAAGCGATATTGTTTAACGTACAATAATTATTTTACAATATATTTATTTCAGAACACTTCTTGTATACCTAGAAGACATTATAACAGCCAAATTGAATAAATTCAGTGTCTCAATTATCGTGCATATTTATAAAAAATCCCGGGACACGTCGATTTTGGATTCTAAAATGACATCCAACAAAGTACGGTTACGCCTCAGATGTTGGAAAACGTTAGAAGACATTTTTATTTATGATTTAAGATGCTACCAAAACGTTCAAGGAACTCACTTTGGATGTCCCCTACATTGAAATTAATTTTTTTTAGTTTGCTGTAGCGAATTTCGTCAAGCAGATGAATTTATTTTTTTACTGCCAATTTTTGTAATAAATTTGAAAACCGCACCATTTTTGAATAGGCAATGAAGAAACTTTTCAAATGATGAATCACAAGCCCCCACTTCCCATTCACGCTATGTCCTGTCCAATTTTTGTTCGTGCAACTCTCTTGGTTTCGACAATGTAATACTGTTTTCAACTACGAAAATTGAATAATTTCAAATATTTCGAATTTTCACCACCAAGAACGGCGGTGACAGCATTTTTAACATTAAGGCGACGTTTAGCATTGTATTAGTTATAGTATTAGTAATAATAGTTTATTAGAAACAAGAGAGCTTTTTAACAAGAAAAAAATTTGGGTATGTTTCTGGAAAAAATATAATTGATGACGTCATTAATCGTTTCTTCCATTTAACACCACGTGCCCCAAATTTTATTTAAATTTTTTGTATCCTCACAGTAGGCCCATACTATCGAATTTAAGATACCCTGTACATATGTGAGGATATAGCACGGTACTTATTTAAATATCAATACAATAATGATAATGGATTAGATAGTCGTATGTTTCAAAAGATACACACATTACTTATAAAGTTTAGATAAAAGCCTTATGTATGTACGCTCTGCCAGAAAGGCATCAAATTATACGTATTTTATTAAGATTTATGAAAGCATTAACCTTTAAATTTTCATAGTTCATATTTGAGCACGAAACTTTGTTTCTAAAATCAGTTTTTGGCTACACATTGAGTGAATCGAAAGAGATATGCGTTCGTTCTTTCTATAAAACTATTTGGTTGTACTGGGTGTTCCATAATTCTATGTTTTTGCAATTTACTCTATTGTTAAAATATTTGAATGGAGCAAAATCTAGACTTATGTGAAGAGCCATGCGGAATCACAATATGCCATCAGGAAAACAATTCAAGGACTTTAGGAAAAACGAGACATGCATACTTCTTAGTACAAAAGCCATTTGTTCCTGGTTTCTAATTCTTATAGCGTAGAATACTTAAAAAACCATCATAGTCTAGAAAAAGTATTTCACAGACATATTTAAATTGTTACTTAGTTCTTTAAAAAGTTATAATAATTATATGGTAATAAATAGATGCCCATTTATCGATACAACTTTAACAATTTGTTTACGTTAATAAATTTTTGCTGCGGGTTTATGATAATGAAATACAGATAAAAAAATAGTTTGCGGTCTTGCTTTCCGGTTAATACATCTAAACTATTCACTAGATATTTCTGACTCATGGAAGAAAAATTCGCTTTGGACTCAAACAATTACTAAAATTTAGTAGATGAGTTTTTATGTTGTTAAATTTTCATCTGTTGAAGATCGCCGACTACGACCTTTTGCACTGACTTTTTATAATATAACTTTTTTGAGAATTGTTTTTTACGGTGCGTCATATATTATAATCCAAATTAGTTTCTATTCTTTACTATACAGGATGTTTAAAAATAAATGGGTCATACTACGAGGGTAGCTTCCTTGGATGAAAATAAACTGATCTAGATCAAGTTGCTATATTTCAAAAATTTTTTAAATCCATTTTAATACTAGGTTCATTTTTATCCAAGGAAATTACTCTTAAAGTATGGCTCCTTTCCGAATACTCTGCATATTAAAGACAATAAGCTGAGGTAGTTAATAGCGTTTTTCTCAAAAACGAAGCGTTTTCTGCGATTTTAACAAGAAAACTATTTTTGTATAAAATGAAATTTCACTTTATAATATATAACAACTACTGTAAAAAAACTAACCTCAAAAAAAGTTACCTATATCATAAAATGACACTAGAATTGGTAGCATTTAAGGACCTCAATAATTAAAGACATTGACATATTTACCATCCCTAAAAAACAAATTTTTTTGACATAATATTGTTTCATGGGAATTTTATTTAAAAAATCAGCTTTCAGGCGTTGTATCTTAAAAATAAAACACGATAGGCATAAGCCATGGGGCCTATAAGAAAAATATTCTTGTTTTTTGATGTTCTAACAACCCTTCAATTTACGGCACTTTTTTCCAAAAGACCCTGTATATAAGTTCTATAAGATAGTTTCTAAATTATGAATGAAAAACCATAATTTACTGGATTTTTAAGCTAGTGCAACAACTAAAAACATCTGACTGGACAAAGAACTAAACGGTACAAATACTTAAATACAAATATCGATTCTGAAATTGAATATCTTGAAAAAATATAGAAACAACGTTTAAAGTTAAATTTAAATTATGAAATGGTCGGGACATATATCGTTAGTTTCTCAAAGGTCATCTGTAGACAAGATTAGAGAGCAATGTGATAACTAAATTGTTTTGTCTTTCTACATAGTAATCTTTAACTATTTTAATCAAACCGTATAAGATACAATATTTTAATTAACGCCACAAGTCTCGGCAAACTGTTTTCATTTTTAATCTCAACCGTTAGTTTTATAAAAAATAATTATAATTATTGTGACATTGATATGATTTTCTCATTTTTGTCTATCGATGGATTTTCTAATATTTTTGCGACACTCTGTAGAAGACGGTCGGTCAGCCCTCGCAAAATCGTTGAGCAGTTTGACGTGAAAACCTAAAATTATTTTAGTTAACTAGCGACAAGTATTGTATTGCGGCAGCACATTTTAATTACATATCCTTATCGCGCGGCAATTTCGCTATAGAAATTCGCATCTAAGAAAGCTGCATATAATTATATTCGAATTACGGTGTAAAGAAACCCCGATCAATACCTTGACCAAACCGAGATTATTATTATAATTGTTTTATGCGACATTTGAACTGGTATTAGTCTCGGCGTAAAAGTGTGGTTGACACAAATACATACGGATTGTGATTATACCGGCGCTATTGTTTCATTTTCAAAAATATTTACTTTGTCACTTTCCACAAGTCGATAAAGTATTTGCATATTCATTTCCTTCGTTTCTAACCTATTTTTACGGTGTAACCGGGGAAAATTTGGGTTGACCATAATTTTCTTTTTATGACGATTTACTCTTTACTATTAATATACTCTTGTAAGGTTTTAAACTTGAGTAATTTTAAAAAGCTTAAAACAAAAACGTTATAATTACAACAAATTGTGATTTTAAACAAATGTTTTCTCTTGAAGTGTCAAGAGAAAAAGTTCGTGTATATCTTTAGTGATATCTAGGTGTATTAAACTGAATTCTAACAGAAGAACGGAACACTCAATGTTGTCTTGTAACATTTTGTATAAAAAAAAGACAATGAAGAACATATTCTTCTTCCAAACTGGTAACATTAACTGTTGTCAACAATGTATCTAACTCTGGATAAGTTTGAAGTACAATTTTAAAAACCTACTCTGAATTTTTTCAATATCGATTTTGTAACAATAATAATGTGAGTTCCAAAATATGGAATCATATTCCAATTTAGACCTAACGAACGAATATAATAATAGGTAATCTTTATTGATGTAAGAAACAATTTGACATTTATATACAAGGTGTGAACGAAATAAGTACTCAAAATTGGAGAGTATGTAAAACATGTCGAAATATGATGAAAACCTTAGTAGAGTTTTTGTCAGTGGCGGCCCCTAAGGGAGATACAGCCCCTTGAAAGGGTAACTCAGGAAACAGTTTATTTCATAACTTCAAAACGGTTTTATAATACATCACGAAATTTTGGGGTTGTATTACTATTTATATGCTTAATAATCCGCAAAATAAATGTATCAAATTGTGCCATGAGAAAATTAAGTAGAAAAAATTGCATAGAAAAAAGAAATTGTAAAATTTGCCCCATGGTCCCGCATTTTCTTAGGCCCCTGTAGCAAATTTTAATTTGTATATTATACCGATTGTTAAGCATATAAATAGTAATACAACCCTAAAATTTCTCGATTTAATATTAAACCGTTTTGAAGTTATGCAATAAAAACTGTTTCCTGAGTTACCCCTTCAAGGGGCTGTATCTCCCTTAGGGGTCGCCACTGATAAAAATCTACTAAGGTTTTCATCATATTTCGACATGTTTTGCATACTCTCCAATTTTGAGTACTTATTTCGTTAACACCTTGTATATTAAGGTGCAAATTGGCCTATTACAATCAACTACTTGGCAAATGTCGTTAATTAAAATGAGAAATAATAGAGGCCTAAGGTTTGAGCCCTGAGAACCACCTGAAGTTGCAAAGTAATGAGCAAGCAAACCCATTATATGAAACAAATTGTACTCTAAATAATACTTTTCCAAAAGTATGGGGATATTTTTTATAAAATTCTAATAGCTTTCGAAATAAGGTCAATATTAAGAGAATATAGGAAAATGTTAGTTTTCGATTTTTTAATGATGGTACTTTTAATTTGATTATCAATAGCGTAAATATTAACTCCCATAGTGAAGCTCTTAATAATTTTACCAGAGAAATAATGTTTGCTGATTGTATACGGCATAAAAATTTCCCGTTTTTCGAAAAATAGTGACGACTTTCTTACCACTGCATGTTCCTCTTGGCGTTGGTGTTAAATTTTCCAGACACTGGCAAGTTTTAAATGTAAGGGATGGGGGATTATTCTCCTTAGGTTTTTCTTCCGGGTCTTGGCATATCGCCCTGTCCACACATTCTTCGTCTTTCGTGCACATATGACCCACCCCTACAATTAAAAAACTCTTTGTTATATTGTAGAAATAAGTTAATTGGAATTTTTAAATTAATAAATCGATTGTTTTGGTTCTACATTTCACTGATCTATAACGCTAATAACTTTGATAAGTTCACTGGTTTTTGACAAGTACGAATACAATAGAGTCACCAATATAATCACAATTCTTAACTTAATCCGATCTGAGCTGCAGTGAGGCTTATACTGGTAGTAACATGGCCATTTATGAGTTTATTGAGATTAGGCTTAGCAGGTAGAACATAATACATTACTAACATGCAACCTAGTACGATAAACACGTCTAGTTTAGTCTTGAGACTTATTTGAACAAGTAAAAGAGAAAAAATAGGCCATAACATTACTGAGAACAAAATATGCAATTTACCGATGATTTTATTTTGTGATAAAATGTCTAGTACCCGACAAATTTAATATAGTCGTCAAAATAACTCGTTTGCTTTAAACTTTTAGAATAACCTTCGAAACTGTATAAAAAGTATTTTTTTATTTTAATGTTAACGTTAATTTTGGAAACTGGGTTAAAATTTTAATAAAACTTTCATTTCTTCAATTTTTTATTCCGTTTCCTCCTGTATCTTAGAAGAAAGTGAAAACCATGCCTCGTAAACCTTGATATTTAACCAATTAAAGCATTTTTTTTGTCGCGTGATAACCGAGAACCTAGCTAACCTACTTTTTTAGTTGCTGCATTATTAAGGTATGACCTTATAAGGAAATAAATGGAAAACTTGTCGAATCCGTTTTTTTACAGTGATTTTTTATTCTTATTGGAAATCACACAACTTTATTGTACACCCCTTGGTTTGGTCTATTTTTCATCAATTGTTTAAGATTAAGTTAATTCCCAAATGGTAAATTTTCATCATTGGTAGAGAAAAACAAACACTTCAGCAGATTAATACGAATTTTATTAAATGTTATTCTTCGTGGATGTCTTCAACATTTTCCCCCGTTCCAGTAACGACGTTAAGCAGTTGGTTGAGACTGAGATACATAAATTAAAATCAGGTTGAACGAACTACCACCTCAAAATAAAAAAATATTGATTCCCCCCAAATCGAGTAGGCGTACTTATTTCTACTTGTATGTGGAATTCATTTGAATAGCATTAATTTTATTACCCCGGGACCAACCAGAGAACTGTACGAACTTCTTTGTAATAAGAAAATAATTATACATAAAACAATTTTGCGAACGTGGTTCCAAAAACGGAGATATAGTTAATAGAGGTTTATTAGTCTGTGCCAGGCTTCATTTGTATCAAATATTAATGGCAAATGTTTGAGGCAATTTAGTTTGAAGCGGCTGTCTACTGGAAAACCACATATACAGGGTGATTCCGAAAGTGGAACAATAAATTCCAAAAATTGTGAACAATTCTTCTATTAATATCATGAATCAAAATACAAATCCTTAAAAAATAGGCCTGAAATTTGATTCAAGTAGACATTCACTATTTTAGTTGGCACACTGTACAGAAAAGATGCGTATTTTCCCTTACACCTTATACATATATACTAAACAGTGGAATTTAAATAAAATTTATGTTTATTTTTGGAGATGCGTTAATTTGTTTTACTTTTTCTCATAAATATGTGTTTTGTGTTCTCAGTTTTAGCATGATATTTATTAACTATTTCGTAAGTGTCTTGTCGCACTATTTTTTTGACACCCCGTATAAATGAATCGCTTTTTTACTAACCTTTCCTTGTAGCGCTGCATATGCCATTAGCTGGATTGGTATTGTCTCCACATAAGCAATAGTTCCTCAGGCAGGTAGTTCCCTTTATAAATGTACAGTTGGCTTGGGTTGTACAATGTCGTCCTTGAACTAAAACATGTTATAACGTGCTAGGAAAAGTGCAAGGAAGCTGACAGCGTGATCACGGAAAAATTCAGTGCAAAATTTCATTCATTTTTGATACAAGATCTGTCAAATAACACAAATAACGATGGTAACAGGTTATCATATACATCTACTGTTTTATACAGGATGACCCGAAATTAGTGTCGGACAAAAAAGGACCCTTAAAGGCAGTGGCGTACATAGATCTCAAATAGTTGAGGATCTTATTCAGTGAATTGATATTTCAGGTAAAAATTAAATTTCTCGCTATTTTTAAGCCTACACAAAATGTTGCACACTAATTTCGTAGCGTTCCGTATATGAATGAAAGGTTTGTTTTTAATAATACAAATTACAGTGTAGTGAGGAAACAGAGCGTTCATAAACGATTACAAGTCACGTGGCCGCTGAGCTGCTGGTATTGGCAATTAAAAATCTCTAAATCTTAGTGTCACTAATATCAATGATTCGTTTACAACGAACAATGACAAACCGTTACGTCTGCGCTCGCTGATTAGTTGAATACAATCTCAAGAAAAATCACACTAATCACCATCGAGTGAAACAGAATGTTGTGTTTTAATGCAATGTAATGTAATTGCCAGCGTGAAGGAAATAAAGTTACTGTTCAAACGAGATTACTGGATACGATGAAGACTGTAATTTATATTGTAGGTGAAAGCATTTCATTTTGAGTTTAAAAGCGCAACAAATTGCGTTTTTGTCTCTGACAACCAATCAGTTTTTCTGCTGTGGTTTAATTTTTAAAATATCATATACTCGTACTACACCTTTTAAGTTTTAAGTTTACATCGTACCTTTCCTTGTAGGGAAATTTCCGTTTTAAATTTTCTCACAACCTAAACAAATCAGGTTATGAGGTGTGCAGCATTCACAACAAAATCGATGCATGTACAAAGTATGCAAGGAATAATTATGCAATAATTACCACGAAGTTACGACCAGCCGATATGCATCTACTTACAATGTACCTGTACTAGTTCAAAGAATTTCTTCGACTCTATTCTCGCTGTTCGAGTTTATGTAGTTGAATGTTGCTCACGCTTTCAGGATTTTATGAGGCTTTATTATAGTATGCTTTTAGTATTAACAGAAATGCAGTATGTCAAAAAAAAAGTTGATGATTGAATTTTTGAGTAAAAATATTTCAGTAGCACACATTTATTTGATGAAACAATAAGTGATAATAAAACGTGTTTAAGATTGGGAAATTTGCGTGTAAATGCTAATATAATGATGTCAGCTTCGCATAAAAGGTGTTTCAGGACGAACTGTACAAACTGTAAAGGAATGTATACTTCGAAATCCTGGATTTTGTGGATTTACTACCTCTAACTGTTTTCATTGTCAAAATAATATTGAAATGCTAATTAAAAAAAGTGAATTTCGTTAACTCAAAACGTTCTATTTCAAATAATAAGAAAATATGGCAAGCTTTTCTGAATCGCTACAAAATGTGGATTTTAATGTAGTGTTCAGCCAGTTTTCAATTTGATTAGTGCCTCTTTATTAGTGCATATGTAATAGACCAGGGCGGATCTGTTTTGAGGTGTATGTAAGAGGGGGCAAGCAAATTTTTTCTGGATTACCTTCAGTACAACTCACATAATAAAAGTGTAGATCCCTAGATCTGGGCGAGGTCCGGAACATTTTCAAAATTGCAAAAAGGTTTAAAAATTTTTATTTTATTTTTTATTTATATCTTGGAACCTATGCATTTTGGAAGAATATTGAAGAGGAAAAATATTTTAGAATTGAATTTTGCACAATATACTGTAAATTAAAATGTTAAAAACAACAGTTTCTAGTTTTCGTAAGATAATTTTTTGAAAAAAATTTTCGAATTTTCAAAACGTTGCACAGCCTCAAATAAGCATCTAGATACTTGAAAATTTTTTCACGTAGAAAAGATCGCTCAACCTTCCAAATGGTTTTTGAAAAATTGAAATCGGTTAATTAGGACGGCCACAGTAAGTTTTTAAAGTTCTTTTTTTTTATTTTTAAACAATTAGATTACATTTATCAATTTGCAATTTAGTTTTTTTCAAAAATTATAATTTTAAAGTACTATTTTTTCTTAATTTTATCTGTATTTAACAAAAAAATTAATTTCCAAATTCCAATAGCATAGGGTAAAATATACAGTATATTTAATGCATAAATAATAAACTTTGTTTATAACAAAATATGTGCAAATTAGACAGTTGGCACTACGATATTCGAATTCCTTGGCTCGCAAGACATCGGATTAAAAAAAAAAAGATCGAAATTGGTCCATTAGAAGCCGAGTAATGCAATTTTTTTCGTACCTTAGCATTTTGAACCTCCGAATTCAGTCTCGGAGCGAAAACCCCCTCCCCCACTTTTCGTGTTTTGAGTCACTTTTCGCGCGTGCGAGCGACAGCTTTTCCGCTGATTTATCTATGCTGCCGATAACTTATGGATATGGAATTTTTTTCCAGCTTAGAACTCGAAAAATCGAAGCCATTCAATCAAACGGTAAATGCCGATAAATTTTGACAATTTGTATCTCGAGAACCAGTAAACGGAATTTAACTTTTTCTTTAAAGAAGCGTCTTTCCGAGTATTTCAAAATTATAATTTTTGAAAAAAACTAAATTGCAAATTGATAAAAGTAATCTAATTGTTTAAAAATAAAAAAAAGAGTGTTAACTTTATAAATTTACTGTGGTCATCCTAATCAACCGATTTCAATTTTTCAAAAATCATTTGAGAGGTTGAGCGATCTTTTCTATGCGAAAAAATTTTCAAGTATCTAGATGCTTTATTTGAGGCTGTGCAACATTTTGAAAATTCGAAAATTTTTTTCAAAAAATTATTTTGCGAGGACTATGGAACCGATTTTAATGAAATTTGGGGTGTTGTTTTAATTATACTCTAAAGTTTTTTTACCAAAATTAGAATGCCTTCGGAGCAATTAAAATATATTAAAAAAATTATCCGAGAAACTTGATTATTTTGCCTTTTTTTCATCAATTATCGCTATTTTGCAACATCGGTAATAAATTTAAACATTTTTAACTTACAGTATATTGTGCAAATTCAATTATAAAACTTTTTTCCTCTTCAATATTCTTCCAAAATACATAGGTTCCAAGATATAAGTAAAAAACTGGCATTTTTAAAAATTTTTTAAACAATTTAGCAATTTTGAAAATGTTCCGGACCTCGACCAGATCTAGGCATCTACTATTATGTGAGTTGCAATGAAGGTATTCCAGCAAAAATTAGCTTGCCCCTCTTACATCCAAGAAGTGGGATATTTCGACAGATCTGCCCTGGTCTATAAGGCAATGCGCTGAAACTATAAGAAAGGTGATAATGGTTCCATTTACATTCTTTCAACGTTTCTTTTTGTCCAGATTGTTATATTACCATGGTGACATAGAGTAGGATTTTTCTTCACGGTTAATAAACATATTTCCAGTTATAATTTTACATCTTGAATTCGCCTTCAAATTCTTCATATGTGTAGTTTTACGAAATTATTTATAAAATTACTTAAATTATGCGGAAAACATTTATAACAATTTTTAAATGCTATCAGTTGGAACCAGAATAATTTGTAGCATAGAAAACAATTTACTGAACATAAATAATATGAAAAAAAAAAATAATAAAAGATACATTGATTAGAAACAAATCTGAAACTACTGTGACTGTTTTTCCATACGTTTGCAATTTTTTTTATGTGATTGCTGTATTAACGAGGATATAATTTGTCCAACAAAATGTTTGTTGCATTTACAATTGCAATTTTTTATTTTTTCACATTACTAGACGAATTTCTGACAAAAAGTGCGCAAATTATGAATTGTCTAATAAATTGTGCTAATATAAAATTTACATGAAATTTAAACAGTGTGTAATTTTGTTTTATTGTCCCAAGAATTTGTTTTACTTTATCAAAATTCCCAAGATTTATTAGTGCATTTATGCCACAAATAAATAATTTTAGCTAATCAACGATGGTAACGTTCATAAACACAGTATTTTTGTGTTATAGCTACACTTCTCAGGAATACACTACAATTGGGCTTGAAGCAGTGCTAATTTAGGTCTTATAAGAAGTACAGCCACCATATAACTTTTTCCAAACTACACTGTAACTATACTATTAATTACAAACCTGAGCGTGAACGGTTGTGGTGACAGTGAGAGGCCAAGTACCATTATCCAGGGTGTAGAGAAAGATTAGGCAAAGTGTAAAAGTGACAATGCACGCGGTTCGCATGATGAACGCTAGAGTTATGCCGATCCAGAGAGAAGTATTCGTGCAAAACTCTTATACACATAATATATTGACAAACAATTGATAGAGCCATCCGTACCAGCTGATTGTTGAGCGGTGTTTCCCTGGCCTTGGCCATTTGATTTTCCGAAAGTTGTAAGTCCGTGAGCGTGGTTAAATCCGGCTAGCACCAATAGTATAGGTATAGACACTATCACATAAAAACCGTTCATCTTGCACTGAAGACTTCGACAAGGTGTTGCAATCACAGCCGTGGTCAAAATGCGTTGCTGCTGCAGACTTTTTACCGCCCCGCACACACGCTTGCGCCCAGTACTTCTATTAAGTCATGCACGTGTTAAGTATATACACGGCGGCCCAAAAATAACACCGCGGTGTCCCACACGGAAAAATATATTTGCGCTTTATATATACACATATATAATCAGGATGATACCACGCCCAACACTTAACACGCCAGCATGTGATAAAAAAAACCAAGTCGTACTAATATTGATATTAAAAAGGGGGTTACTTTAAACCAAACTTTAAACCAAAAATATCTTTGTTCAAATATCTCTCTGAAGATGGTTGACTTAAATTAATGAGACTTGGTCTAATGTTAAAAAATTATTGTAACAATAATATTAAGACACAACATTCTGTTTCACCGACTGCTGATTGGTGCAATTTTTCACGAGATTTTATTCAACCAGTCAGCCATCGCATTATCTCGGTGAAGCTGATATTTTTTGCGAATGCGATTTTTTTGGACTTCCGGTAATTGTAAAATTGTACTCTGAACTAATTTTTTTGTGAAATTTATTCAATTTTGGGATAGGCATATTTTAATTTTAAAAAAATGGACCGTTTTACAAACAAAATTTAAATATTGCAATTTCTCTTTTCTTTTAGTATGACAAAATAATCAGTAAAATAAAATGAGTACAAAAGAACACCACAATAACAATAATTATACAATATCGTTTTCACACAACCACTGTAGATGTATTTTTCTAATTCTATCACTATCACTATATTGTGTATTAATTTTTTTGCGTACTAGTAGATAATAATATAAAAAACTCTGACATTTTGTAGTATGCAGGTATTCGCACGCAAAAAACTTATCAGGAACGTTTAAAGCATTTTAGTAATTTGGGCAAGATATTTTAATGTCATGTCAACTTTATATGCTTCATTAGAATAAATAGTTGAAAAGATTTTATGTTGCAATTATAACAAAGCAGTTATTTACCGTGTCCAGAGCGAAGTTGGAGCCGGAGCTATATCAGACGCAAACTTATTTGTATCCATCTCTATTTCCTTTTACGCACTAGTTGGTAATGTAATTATTATTTTATAGCGGTGGCTATGGTTTTATTTAAAAAACATTAGTACTGTTTGAATACAACCTGTAAGGGTTGTCACCGCGGCAAATGAAAATATATATCTACAATTTATTTGTATGTGTGTGAATAATTACTTTACGTAATAGTGCGTAGTGTACAATGTGCGTAAATTTAGTACTTTACGCACGGTAATAGAAAAAAAAATTTTGAATACATATTTTAAAATAAATTTCAGTGATATTGGAAAAAAGTTCAAGTAGTTAATAATATTTGCTATAATTTAAGGTATTTTTAACTTCAGGTCATATGTATAAATCGATTCCACCCCAAACGGGACATCCCCCCTCCTTCTTAGTCAGTGCATTAAATCAAAGTATCTCAGAGTTTAGGTTTTTTGGGTCCCTGAGTCCGAATCTGAGGTTAGTTTATATGTTTTAAGGTTGTTTCAAGGTCATTTTAAAGTCGAATTGAGAAAAAACCGAGCAATCAAGTCCGACCACATGTTATACAGGATTTTGGGATCGCTGAGTTCGAATCCGAGGTCAGTTTGTGTGTATCGGGTTATTTGAAGGTCTTCTCAAGGCCATTTCAAGGTTAAGTTGAGGAAAGCCAAGCAATTAAGTCTAACCGCCTGTTAAACACGTATTTGCAGACAAACTGACCTGGGTTTCGAACTCAGTTATCCCAAAAACCTAACTTGACCTTAAAATGACCCTGATACGTCCTTTAAATGACTTGATACAGACAAACTAACCCAGCGACCCCAAAATCCTGTATAACAGGTGGTTGGACTTGATTGCTCGGCTTTTTCTCAATTTGATCTTGAAATGACCTTGAAATAACTTTAAAATGGCCTGATACAGACAAACTAACCTCCGATTCGAAATCAGCGACCCAGAAAACCTAATTTCCGAGATCTTTTGATTTAATGTACTTTTTCTCAGTCTGACCTCTAATTGACTTTGATCCTGACCAAGAAGGAGGGAGGAGGTCCCGTTTGGGGTGGAATCGATTAGTTATTGGATACAAATAATAAAAATTTTGGCCAAAAATGAAGGGGGTCGAAAACCGTCCAAATTGACCCTTCCCCTTTCAAAATATTCTCTTAATTTTTGATCTATAAATATTTTCTGGGTGCTAGCAAGACATACAGAACAATAATAATAATATACGGTCCCCTCCACACACAAAACAGGTGAGATTTTGCTCATTATCGTCGGATTTATGGGGGATTCGCTCGAAAGTGGGGCGAAAATGAGAAATCGCCGACACAGCACCAACAAATTTTGCTCACGCTATACAATTAGCTTCTTTGTGGGATCTTGGAGCGATAAGCAGTGGCCATAGCGGCGCCTTGAATATTCTTACCTCACGCGAAGTATTGCGTCACGATCTGCAGCCCCCTGCGGTGGCTACTAACTCATATTACCGAGTGGACAATCGCCACTTCCCTCATTTTCGGGCATGGGCTAAAATTAACAACTTGCCGCTGTCGACGGAAATTCGTCAGAGGCAGGACTATTTCGGTTTCGGCGGCACGACGGAAGTGACGATGCGGCGGATGGGGTGGTCCCCCCTTTTTTATAATTTATTTCGAAAGATTTGCGTAAAATATTTAACACGCACTTCCTATTCTACACGTAATGGCAAATCGATCCGATTCGATGCGATAAATCTAGTACATCGTAGATTTGCACTAGCCAGTAGTATTGGCCGATGCTGGAACTGCCAACTTAGCAACATAATCAAACAAGACACACTTGCCTATATAGTTATGGAAATACCTAATACTCACAATAGGAGAGAAGTATATTTCTACAGAACGAAAAAATGAGGTAAATATAATGAAAAAAGACTAATTTCAACAGATGCGATGCTCAGTGTCTAATAAATGAAAAGTAAAAAAAAACTATTTAAAAAATAAGCTTTTATTAAAATGCACTAAAAAGAAAAAATAAAACAAGGAGTTCATAAAACCCATAATGTTGTGTAAACCCCAAACCCACAAAAGGGTTGAATATGGCTGCCCTATAGAAGTGTCATCACCAAAAGTATGATATATAGACATGTACTATCTATAATCAGTATGTTCATGTTCTTATGCGATTCGAAAGCTTGTCGCGAGGTTTATTATTAACTGGAAAACATTTAAATACGTAATTTTACTTTTTTTGTGACTTTAAAAAAAATGTTTTACCCTTAAAAAAACCTCTAAACTATTTTTACCCCCTAAAAAACTCAGATACAATCTTTTTACCTCTAAAATTACGGGGAAACCCATAACTGCCTGACAGAACCGAAACAAGCCTCTTGAACTGGTTTCAGCATAGAAGGGAAATATAATCAAAAGCTTTGTCTTAACGCCTTTGGAGATTGATATAATCAACGTATTATAAATCAGTTGTATTAGAGGTACATTGTTTCTATGGACTATTTCTTTACATTTTTCAATACATTTTTCAATACAGGGCTATAAAAATTAAATTACAGCTTCCTGATGATATTTGTAATAGAAAAGTTTTATACGAAAAAGTTCTATCTTCGCGTTTTTTTTATGTAAATTAAAGTCCATTTATTCAACAAAAATGAAGGCCGACTCTGTGTTATTTATTAAAAATGTTGGAAATGTTTTTAGGCGACCCGAGATGCAACCTTATAATTTAAGTCGGTATAATCTAATACTAGTAATACTAAAAGAAGGTTAGGTTACATTGTCAAAAAATTAGTGCAGTCAACTGATTTTGTATTTGTATTGAATTCATTATTCACTTAATTATTAAATATTAAGCATCGTCCATCGACTATCAGTGTTAAAAAGTGAAAGATTCCAGACAAAATGTTTTATTTTGTAATTCCACGATAGTGACAGTGTAACTTTTATAAAGAAGTAAAAAATAAGAATAGCGTGCTGATGACATTAAAAACGATATTCTTATTGCTTACTTTGCTTAATTTTTTAGTTTACTATTAATTATTATCATAAGAAAATATCAGTTTTTTTAAATATCTATTTTTCTTAGTTTGTACTTTTGCACTGAAAAATTCCCCAAAAATTGAGAAGTATCTTTCTATGTTCCAACGACGATTTGTTTACGCAGCACGTAACTCATCGTACAGCACACAGGCAGGACCGTTTCAGAGAAAATATTTTGATCCATAACTGAACTTTAATTTACGAAAAAAAAACGCAAAAACAGAACTTTTTCGTGTAAGACTTTTCTGTTACAAATCTCATTAGGAAGCTGTATGTACAAAATTTGTAAAATATATGCCAAATTTCGTCTCTTTAGCCATAAATAATGTATTTAACTGTTAGAAGGCAATCCTGCTCCTTCCTTTCAAAACTTAATAAATCATTCACGTCGATCAAAGACGTATTTGATATAAATATGTTTATATCTTTATTATATCACATCACGCAATTGTTGGGACTTAAGGGGAAGAATATTTTACTATGAGATATTATTTTTTTCACATGATAAAAATGGTTCAGTACCATCACGAATAGCATAAAGATAATTGTATGAAGTACCATGGCCTTTCGCGTTGTTATACCCTGATCGGTGCCAGTTACATAAGAATTTCCTTAGCTGTGAATCTTTCACCTGACCTTGTTGTTCTCGGGATAGGTTCTGTGGCGACGGTGTCTACAGACAAAACCGCTCCTCAGACAATGGTGGTCCTCTGAGACCACTTTATTTTATGAAATTGTTAATACATAATTGTCGGCTTGTCATCTAATTTCACAGCTGTCAAATTGATATATTAAACGTAAACTATTTTCTGCAATGCACCGTCGTACGTAGAAAAAAATATTCGAAACATTAGCAAATTTACGTTTATGCAAAACTTCCTAGAAAAAGCGATGGTGCACTATATTTTTCGAGCGACGGTTACTTCCACTAATAAATTTCGGCTCATTTTCCGTTGGCTAAAAAGTTTATTTAAC